TACAGGCTCACAACGATGGATGCAGCAGTCCCGAATAAACTGTTGGATCTTGCTGTGCAGAGTCTGCTGAGCAATGAGTCTGCAGCAATCCAAGCTCTGGAGGACATTCCAAGAGAGCTTTTTGTTCCATTGTTCATTGCTGCCTTTAGGGGTGGGCATAGGAGTATATTGAGTGCAATGGTTAAAGTTTGGCCCTTTTACTGTCTCCTTATTGGGTCACTTAGTATTCAGGAGGCTCACCATGAACTCCTGAAAACCATGATTGAGAATCTTCCAGTATGTCCTGCACAGAACTCCTCTCCTAGGTAAGGTTGTATAGTAGAGACATGATAAGATTCAGGAGGTTATGCCCTGGCCTACTAATCACTCCAGAAGTAGTAACAAGTGCATGCTGAAGATTTATGTGAAAGCCTGTTGGCCCAACACATTTTGTTATGAAATCTATGTTATTGGTGGGGGGGAGGTGTAATATTGATGGGCTTATGTAACAAATATTACTAAAAAGAAAAACAGAAGCTTGAAGACTGGAGATGAATTAAGGTGTAAAATGATGGGGAGAAAGAGTTTCAATTTTAATGGGAAAGAATTGTTGGGAGTTATTATAAGGAATGTCAGCTATGCCTAAAAGGATTTGTTCTATTTTATTTTAAATTTGCTTTTATTAATTTTTTATATTTTTCTTTTCTTTTTATCTTTTTTTCATTTAGTTTTTATTATTAGTTACATTTTATTAACTTTGTATCCCAGCAGTATCCTGCTCCTTCACTCCCTCCCAATCCAACCCTCCCTCTCTCATCTCCTCCCTGAACCTTTCAAAGTCCACTGATAAGGGAGGACCTCCTCCCCTTTCATCTGACCCTGTTTTATCAGGTATCATCAGGACTGCCTGCAAAGTCCACCTCTGTGGCCTAGCAGGGCTGCTTCTCCCTTGGGGGGTGGGGAGGTCAAAGAGCCCGCCATTGAGTCATGTGAGAAATAGTCCCTGTTCCCCTTACTAGGGTACACACTTGCATACTGATCTACCATACGCTATATCTGAGCAGAGGTTCTAAGATATATCCATACATAGTCCTGGGTTGGAGAAACAGTTTCATAAAAGACCCCTCTGCCCAGATATATTTAGTCTTTGTGGAGATCTTATCCTCTCCAGGTCATATTAACTCCCCCTTCGTTCATATGATTCCCTGCACTCTGCTGAGTTTTTGTTAGGAGTCATAGTATCTGCTTTGATACACTGCTAGGTAGAGTCTTTCAGAGGCCTTCTGTGGTAGGCTCCTGTTCTGTTACTTGTGTTTTCCTACATCTAATATCAAGCCCATTTGTCTTCCTGAGTGAGGACTGATCATCTTACCCCGGGTCCTCTTTCTTGTTTATCTTCTATAGGTGTACAGATTTTAGTATGTTTATCCTATCTTATAGGTGTATATAAGTGAGTATACACCATGTGTGTCTTTCTCCTGGGATACCTCACTCATGTTTTATTTTTTTTTAATTTTGCACAATTTATTCATTATTTATCCTGATTGAAGATACCTTCTTCAACAACTTTCAGTCCCACCCTCTCTTCCTCCTCCCCTTTCTCAAAAATTGGCAGGTCAATCTCCATGCAGGAGGCAGAGGCAGAGTAAGGGGAGCAGGGGATGCCTCTGTCATGAACTCAGTTGTCTGTTCTTTGTTCACATGCCCCTGCCAATGCAGCCCTACCAGACCACAGAGAAAGAAGATCCAGTCACTCCTGATGAGACTAGATTTTTTCTTATATGCCGTCATTGATCCTACTGGGATTCATTGCCATTTGCTATTTTTCATATACTCTATCTGCTCATTTCCCAACATAGAACTAAATTGAGGATACTAGATTTGAGACAAGTCACCTACTCTAGGATCACATGCCCTGAAGTCAGCACAATATCACCTTTATGTTTTCATTCTTGTGCTTATTCTGACCACTCTATCACTAAAATATTAGGACATCTTCGTTTAGGAAATTCAGGGTTTGAGACTCAGACACCCAGACCTGTGGAATTACTAGTGGACCTTTTCCTCGATGGCTCCTTAATGGAAAAGGAATTTTTGGATTTGCTTATGGGTAAAGCTGAGGAGAGTTCAGGGTCTTTGCATGTGTGCTGTTGAGATCTGCAAGTTGATAAATTGTGTAACTACAAATGTACTCTGAAATTTCTTGATCTCAAGTGTTTTGATCAGTTTTCTGTTGATAAGGACTCATTGAGTGATATCAACAGCATCCTGTCTCGGATGGCCCACATACAAAGCCTTATTCTGTTTAAAGTCTCTTTTAGATCTCAGAGGAGGAAACTCTTTAAAAATTTCTTCAGCAACCTGCAGCGATTGGAAAACCTCAAGGAACTCAACTTGGCTTCATTCTACCTTAAAAATCATCGGGACAAAGTGCTCAGGTAATAGTTTGCAGTAGGTCCCTGGCTTTCCTCAGTAGCCTATTGAGACAGGAGAGAAAAATTTCTTGGGCATTCCTAACTCCTCACAAGTTTTTTGCATTCCATTTCATCACTTCTGGGAATTTGAAACTGAAGAAAGACAGGAGTACACAAATTAAGCAGCCAGAAATATACAAATACTACAGTAAGTGCAGAAATACAAGGGTGAAAAAATTCTAGCCCTGCAGATATCAGGAGGAGGAGGAGGAACTGAGATAGGGGAAAACATTTTTGCTATAGCACTGAAGCACATGATTATAGATGTCCATAGCT